CACACACACACACACACACACACACACACACACACACACACACACACACACACACACACACACGATCGGCGGCTCTATGGCCTACCGATCGTGTGTATGTGCTGGCTGCCGCTTCCTGACCCCTCACCTTCAATCCCGCGATCTGCTGCCCCATCTGCGGCTCGTGAGGGCGTCAGGAGGTAAGATGGGAGGGAGGTCAGCATCTTCCTCCTTGTTTATTACATCACTTCCGCATTCACCTATCAGTCATCTGGTTGCTAAAGCCAGAGAGAAGAAGCGGATGAAGCAGATCTGTGCTTCATCAGCTCCTTTTGGGGTCCCCATGTGACATTAGGGGTCTTAGAGATCCCTAATGTCTCTATAAAGTGGACCTGTCAGTGTGCGAACGTCTGAGTGAGAGAAATCATTTTAGGGCCATCAATCACTGATAACACTAAACTGATGAGCGGTGAAAGCTTTTAAAGCGTCGCCTATGGCCAATTTTGGGTATTGTAGTTTTTTGAGGTTTCACGCGCAATTCAAGGGCTTGACATGTTTGGTTACTTTTTTTTTTTTATTCAATAATTTTCCATTTTAATATAGTAAAAAATAAAACCCCCAGTGGTGATTAATTACCACCAAAAGAAAGCTCTATCTGTCCCCAAAAAATTGTATAAAATTCATTTCAGTACAGCGTTGCATGACGGAATAAATGTCAGTCAAAGTACCGCAGCGCTGAACACTGAAAAATGGCCTGGATGGGAAGGGGGGTTTAACACCGTGGACTTGAAGTGGTAAAGAAGAAGAAAAAATGTTCCAGGGCGTTTGCATGTGGTTTTGATGCATTTGCATGCATTTGGTGCGTTCCTGAGCAGAAAAAAAATAGGGCTTGCTGCAGTTTTTCCACATGCTCTGGAACTGAACGCTTTGTTGTGGACTAGAGCCCTAAATACCATTGGAATACATTGGATGCATTTTTGATGCGTTCTGTAACTGCTCGGCACTTAGTGTGAACAAGCCATTAAACAACGCTTTACTTCTTTGTTTGTGTTTTGTGTTTTTGTTTTGTGATTAGTAACCAGTGTTTTCCTATTACTTTTGTTCCAGATTAGTTCTAATATTTTTAGAACTCTCCCGCCGAGCGACAATCCAGACTTTGATCCTGAGGAGGATGAGCCGACACTAGAAGCATCATGGCCTCACATACAGGTGGGTACTAGGCGGCTGTTCACATGCTGGGACCGTGCTTTTTTTCCCCGTTCAGTTCACATTTGATTATTTTTCTGTTTAGAAACAAAAGATGTTTTTAGTTAAAGTTTCACATGACATGGGAAGTTAATTGGGAAGTTAATTGATGTTTTCTTTATTCATTGTCATCTTGTGGGTTGGTCAGTACATGAGCCAACACTTTTAGTCTGAATACACGCTGCGGTTTGTGTTTTTTCGTTCTCCTTGGCCTATTAATGGTGTCCCTGACTTAGCAGCCACTAGGTGCAGAACTGTTTGTGAATAGACCTGCATTGTCAAACTATGCATGTTGGTAAACGGGACTGTAAGGCCTCGTGTACATGGCGTCCGGGGCTGTACATTGTAAAAATCGCCCAGGAGCTGCAGCTGCTGCATATACCTGCTGATGGAAAACAATTATGGCCATTGGCAGGTATAGGCTATATGCATGCATAAACGGGCAGCTTTGCCTGAACATTGTAAAATTTAATATATTGCAGTTTACTAGTTCTTAGATGTGGTGGCGTAAGTTCAAAAATTTTTTAAGCAAGTACAGCAAAATACCTGTTGATTGTGGCAGAAATGCTGTGTCCTTGTTACTTCCTGTGAGCTTCACTGGAAACAAAAACGCTGATCTATTTTATGTAAACTACTAATTCCATCACCCACCATGTAATGCAAATGAGCAAAGACAGACATAAGTAGTCCAGTCTGGGTGGCAACCATGGCTGCCTCCTGAGATGCAGTGGAGTAAAGGTAGCCATCCAGGAGCAGGAACTGTGGTGTTTGTAGAAATAGCTGCGGAAATAAATTGAACAAAGCCTTAAAAGAAAACGAATGCTGCAAGCACTATTTTTGCAGATCGCAGTGGACCGGAACACAGGCACTAACGTTACAGGCGCGGGCGATTGCACTGCGGGTGGGGCAGTGGCTACAGTGCCATTGACCTCAATTCACCGCCATGCCCCTCCCACCCCTGAACACAGGGAGCCCGGCTGGAGTGCGTTCCAGAGGGCCCGAACGCTCTGGAACGCAGACTTTGTGGTGCGAACGGGCCCTTCAAGGAGAACTATGGGGAGAGTGAAATGTACTCATCCCCATAGTTAGAGGCGACATGTGACATTAAAGCTGTCCCACATCAGCTCTGTAGTTCAAGAACATTTTAGTTCAGGATCTTCTGCCTGCAGAGAGCGGTGGCTGTCAGTCATGGCTCCCTGCAGGGATTCCTCCCAGCGCTGAGTGGAGGGACAGATGGGGGGGGGGCGCAGCTGGCTCTAGAGAGGCAAAGCCAGCTGTCAATCGGATAGTGGAGTGCTCTGCACTGTCAGCAATAGTCAGCAATAGTCACAGCAGGACATTAGTAAATGTATTTCTGTGAGCCAAAAAGAGAAAAAACACTGAAAGGTTTGGCCATAGTTCTCTGTTAAGGACTGGTGAACTGTAATATTACATTTGTTTTTGGATTCCGATATGTTATACGTTTATTTATGTTAGCCATCTTCTTTACATTTCTTAGTATCTCTTTACTGTGCGCTGCAATCTAGTTTATTGTAAAACATACCACTAAAATGAAATAGTTTATTGATTTTGGACAAAAATTAACTTGGATTCCAAGGAATTGGGATGTTGACAGAAGAGGTGGAATGTCTGTGAATGGTGTAAATTGGAATTATGGGTGATAATAGATAAGATCGGTCTGCTTTCTGTATGGCAAGCTGTCACATTGGCCTCAGAACTTCGGAATCTTTCCGTTTAGCACTTGAGGAAATATGTACGTTTAGGGTTTTTTATTTTCATATAAACACATGATTGTGATGGCTTTACCACAAGTACGATTATCAATATTTAAAGAACTCTGTTTCTGTGTGTGACCTAATATATACATAGAGGCAGGATACAGCTTCAGAGCTCTATTTAGACCAGGCCTTTGCAACTTTCTTACCCCAGAGGAACCTTTTTGAAGTATTTTCAGGAACCCCTGCTGAAAAATGTAATCTACAGGTCATGGCACATTAGCATAATCAGTAAGGTGTAAAATGTTTTAAATAGAGTAATGACAATGGCTTAAAGCAGAACTCTGGGCAAAAGTTTTCTTAACCCTTGCAGTGGTGCTACCGCTGCACTGCAAGGGTTAAATGCTCGTTTTTGTCTAGGTGCTAAAAAAAAAGTTATACTCGCCTGAACTTTTTCCGGAGTCAGCTGGCTGAAGCTCTGGTTCCTGAAGCCTGTCTCATCCTCGGCTGCAGTGATAGTATGTCCCTCAGTGTACTCGCGTCCTATACACTGTGTATATAGAATGTGATGACTTGGGGATCCTGCTTTGAGTTTTTCCAGAGCCCACTTCTCAGCACTGACAGCAAATACATTAATAACTCAATGTGTGCTCGCTAAAAATGCTGTCTAGTTTCTTTTAAAGGGAATGCATGTGATATGATTTACATGCGGTTAGGAATCAATTACTTACTGGACGCATTAATTGTGCATCTGGTCAGTGACTGGTCAGACTCGCTCCCATTTTTTACTCTGCTGTACAAGTCAATGTGAGGAAGCTTGTGTCAGTTACTCAGCACAGAGCACTGGAGTGTGAGAGCAGATGGCAGCACTACTACTGAGAGAGACACATTTTAGGGCATTTCTAAGAGGTTGGCCATAAATCTTAACATGGGATACAGGAATATAAACAAAGGTGAAATGCTGTGCCAGTTTATATGGGCTTCAAGGACTTTGCCATTACTGACTTTTTTGTACAGAGAATTATGGGGAGAGTGAAATACACTAGAATTAGCAAAAATGTCACCAGCACACCAAAAGATTTTAGCCAAAGTCCATTTAATGACAAATTGCCATTCAATACACTAATCCCCATAATAAGAGCCGAAGTGTCACACTGAAGCTGTCGCATGTCAGCTCTATATACTGACAACTGAGAGATCACATACCACTGATTGCTCAGTTCCCGATCATCTCCCTGCAGAGAATAGTGACTCAGTCACAGATCCCCGCAAGGATTTTCCCTCCCCCCCCCCTCTCCGTTCCTCCAGCGCTGACTGGAAGGACAAACTGGGGAGGGGGTGGGCACATCATCTGTCAATCATCTGACTGCAGTCAGCTCACACACTGCACGCAAAGCTCCGTGCCGGATAGCTTTGCTTCGCTCTGCACGGCTTCGCGTACAGTGTGTCACGGCCTTAAGATGTCGGCACACGTCTGACCTATCAGCAGACTCACATGGGTGAATACCTATGGTTACGATGATGATGATCACCATTACAATGCATTGCCATTCCCACAGTCTGGAAGAGAAGATCTTGGTTTATAAACTACATGACAGGTTAGGCTGCAGATAGTTAAGTAATTTTTCTTTCCACACAGGATTACTTAAAAACAAGGCGATAATGGCAGCTTCCAAATATATATCCTCATAGAATCACTTTAAACTGTGTACATACAGGTATAACTGTTTCACACGGAAAGTGTGTAATGAACAACTGGTCAAAGGTCTGACGCTTGCTTTCTTCCCCATACAGACTAATGGGATTTTGTACATTGTAGTACAAAGTATTCATTGTCTGGCAATTGTTGGTGTAGAACATCCTTTATGTATCTTGTGACTGAGAGGCCTCTGTGTCAGTCACATGTTAGAAATACAGAGCAACCTTTTAAAGGTGCAGGCCACTGAAAATTGAAGATTAAGCCTTAAAACAATTACAGGACAAAGCCCACTTGCCCAAGCTTCTGGCTTTGTGGGGCAGAATCCCCTTACCTTCTGTGTGGGAAGGTGAAATCTCTTAATGGACACACAGGCAGCTGTACAAACTCTGGCATATTCTAACTCTTCCACATTCTCCCCAGAAATGTTCTGGTTAGATTTGGACTATAATATACATTTCTATTTTTCAGACATCATACAGAACCACTATGGACAGTAAGTTGTTGTTCAGCTTTGCTGAGATCATCTCGGTTAATGTATTCACCAGCAGCCAGGTTCATCAGACTTCTGGATGGAACGTAGATGGACTTCATGTCACAGGATACTGCACTATGCAATCTTTCTCGTGCTGTGATGAGTGTGTGAGATATCAAAAGCTGTAATAGAGGCTAGTGTTGGGCTAATGCACTGATCGTGGCACATTGCACTATACCTTTTTTTGTTTTGTTATTTATCTGACAGAACTTTATTGAAATGTCACAGGTGACATTTCATTATTTTCTACAGACATGGTGGGGTGCGAGGTGGTTCTGCCTTGCACCCCACTACGCTGCAAACAAAAGTACAGCATGCTATACTTTTTTTCATTGCACACCACCGCGTTCTGATCGCAGCACAGTGGTGAAAACGGTGTCCATCCGTGACAAGGCAAATTGCCTTGTCTTGCTCTGGGGCTGCTCTGAAAACAATGGCCAGCACAGCCCCAACGCATGTGGTGTGTATCAGCCCTACAGGGGCTAAACTTGTGGAAATGTGTGTGTATTCCAGAGATGTACTGCTTTTTTTTAATTCTTTCTATTTTTGCAGTGACAAGCACTTCAGGACCCCCTTTGGGATTTTGTTTTCTACCTTCCCAGCTCCTGGGAGCTTTGGCATGCCTCCTGCTGCTATCCAATAGCAACCCTCTATTGATCCCGGGAACTGCTACTTTTGGGTAGTAGGATGACAAAAGGGTTCCAAAGCTCCTGGAAGTTAGAGAAGTCTAGTGCTGTGATTTCAGTAGTTTGGACAGACCTAAAGGTACTTGATGGCACCAGCACCCGGTTGTTTGTGCTGGTTTGTCATGCTTATGTTTGAATGTCATGAGACACCTCTTTAGAAGGAATCTGCTGGCATTCTCAGCTCTTTGGCCCTTAAATGCAGAAATCCTTGGTCTATTTATAGCTGGACTAACGTTCACATAATATTTAGAATTTTCTGAAAATGCTGGCTGACTAGTTTCCTCTTGAGCAGAGCACAGGCCTAGACTCATTTCAGGATCTGATTGATTTATATGTTGTAGTGAAATGTAAAAAAATGTAAGTGTTTTCTGTGATTTGCGCTGAATAAACACATTCTCCTAGGGCGGCATTTCCCAACCTTTTCAACAGGCAGAAACCCTTGAGATAACTTGCAGATCTCAGGGAACCCTTACTAATAATGACTGTATCTACAGCTTACAGAACATTAGCCTGAGCAGTCATTTGAGTTCTTAGAAAACCGAAGATAAAAGGAAAATGATGTACTTGGCATATACAGTGCCGATGATGCCCAAGGCTGCTCTATATGACAATTATTTCAGTAATAATGAAATAAAACAAATGTTCAGAAAAGAAATACAGACAGTAAAAATTTTGTTGTTTTCTCTCAGTTGCTTTCTTACACTGGTGGTCAGGGAAATGCCCCCTTAAATTGGTGGTCAGCGTAGCGCTCGCTATAAAAGACTTCCTTATATAAGTGGTCATTGAGAGAAGGGCCCCCCTAAACTGATTGTTGTTGAGTAGAATGTCCCTCATCTTGGTGGTCATTAAGTAATACTGCTTGTAATATTTATGGTGAGAAATAATGCCCCCCCCCCCTTCCTTACAGATACAGTAGCTAAAAAGATAACTGATGGTTACTTATCAGAGTCAGACGATGCTCATTGCTCAAGGAACATCTAGCAACCTCTGGAGGAACTTGAGTTCCATGAAACCCTGAATGGGAAAGGCTGTCCTAGAGTGTTGGTTACACCTTTTAAAAAAAAAAAAGTTAGTATGCATCAAATGACTCTAATGGACTGCTGTCCTATTTTCCAATTTGGGGAGCACCCATTGCTTCTACCTTTTTAGAAAGCAAACCTGTGGCAAGACAAAATTACAGCCTGCAACTCCTTTTTTGTAGTAACATCTTGCGTCCCTTGGTACATTTCAAGAACACTTGGATCCCTAACACAACGTATTTATAGTACTCACTTGCCTGTGACCAGGCTACAAAACCACAGTGACTCCCATGTCAGATTGCATGAAAAGGTGGAAACTAAAAGTTTTACCTCAGAGCTGAGGTAACATGTTTGATCATACAAATTCACCAATAAACAGCTCAAACAGAAAATTCAGTTTTAGAGGGTACATGGCCTAAAAAAGGCCTAAGGTAACTGCAGTACTGAAGTGCAGACATCTGTTTTAAAGCCTATTTCCACCTTTGCGGAGGTATTTAAAAAAAAAAACAACATGCCCGCAATCTACACCGAGGTGTACATGAAGCAGGCACATGCAGTTTCTGTATATGAACATAGAAGCTTCCTTTTCTTTGTTAGCTGTCCTCTTCATCTCCTCATGGCTCCTTTTTGAAATGGCTGCCTCTGTTCTCTGCATGCAGTCTTTACAATATAAAGTTGGCTGTGCACAGTAGGAACTACAATGTAGAGCATGGAAAACTACATTTCCCACAATGCACAAGCTTCTTTGTGGAAACTAAGCTCTCTCCCTACTCATTAATATTCATATGGGCAATGCACCCTGGACAGTGTATTGTGACCCGGAGAGAGAGATCTTGTTACAATGATTCACAGGGAGGGGGTCAGCTGCTTTACAGCCTGTACAAGACTATCTGACCCTGGCGTCAGATTGCGTTTTCTGTGGAGGGAATTTTGAATTTGTAGCATTCAGGCCTAAAAAAAAGTCAGTTTAAAAAAACCCAGCAATGTGAGTCATGAAAATGTGCACACAAAGGCATTATCACTGCACCTCTACATTAACACAATGAAAGGCCAAACACTTAGAAAGGTGGAAATGGCATTTTATCTTTAAATTTGTCTCTGTGGAACCACTTGGTTCCTTAGCCCGGGTTGTTCTGACCTCCACTTAACAAAGTCAGTGTGAAAGGAGAAATTTTGAGGTGAGTGAAAAATCACTCATCCTCATAGTTCAAGCCAACGTGTCGCATCGAAGCTGTCACACGTCGGCTCAATAGATCGGGAAGTGAGCGAAAACATACCGTCGCTCACTCACTTCTGAACCATCTGTGAGCAGTGACTGTCAGTCACAGCTACCCGCTCCGATCCTCCAGTGCTGACTGGAGGAACGGACAGCATAGAGGGCGGGCACAGCTGGCTCTGCCTCTAGATAGGCAGAGCCAGCTGTCACTCACACAGTGGGGTGGATCTCGACAACATTGTCCGATATGTCCCGTTCTTCGGCGGTCTCAGCACACCGCAAGCTGAGCTTTGGGTAATAGGAGGACGCTAGTATATGTCCTCCCGTGACCCTAAAGAGAACTATGAGGAAAAACACTTACCCCATAGTTCTCTTTTAAGCCCTGCCCCCCACCATCAATTTAACCTCACAGGCTGTACAAGAAACAATGCTCTTTCCCCATCCATGCTAAACAGGGTGGATGGGGTAATCCTTCCCTTCCGAGCGATTATATTCGGACAGCAGCGGGTGTGCCACAGGCAGAATACCCAAAAAGTGGCTGCAGCTGATTGACTGAAGTCACTGTTCAGCTGAGAATTTGCTGACCAGCTTGAGAAATCAACATTTGTTAATGGATGGGAACCAGTGGGGCCATGCACAACTCGAATTTCAGCCTAGTCAGCAGGATTCTGCTCAGATTTGAACAGTGTATGGCCAGCATAACCTCAAATGCATTGTGGTTCACTCATTGATCACTGCATCATTTAATTGCCAGTAGTAGTTTTCAGGTTTCTGATCTGCCATTCCAGCCCTGACCAGGCAAGCTGTACTTCATATGAAACTAAAATGTATTGGACTTGATGTCTGAAAGTCATTTATATCAACTCTGTTCTCCAGCCTCTTGTATTCTTCTTTTCAAATGTTCTGTGTGTATTGAGAATCTGGTTGTATGGACAGCAAATCAGATTCTAAATATTCGTCAATATTTATCTGTCTGGGAAGGTTCTCAATCATCCAGGTCATGGTATGTCTGTAAAAAATAAATCAAGGCAACTGGACTTGCTGTATTTTTCTTGAAGATGTTTCACTGGTCATCCGACCAGCTTTCTCATTTCAGAATGACTGACTTCTGTCCTTCTGAATTGAGAAAGCTGGTCGGATGACTTCAAGAAAAATACAGCAAGTCCAGTTGCCTTGACTTATTTTTTACAGATGTGAATATTTATTATTTCGCTCACAGCTTCACATTGATCTTTTCCTCATTTGTACATATAATTAAATGTACACGTTTATAAAAGTCTAATGATCAAATTGTTTTCTTTATGTTGCAGTTGGTGTATGAATTTTTCCTGAGATTTTTGGAAAGTCCAGACTTTCAACCAAGCATTGCCAAGAGGTTTGTGGACCAGAAATTTGTGCAACAGGTAAAACTTTGACTTCTACTGCCTATGTACTATTTTGGTAAATGTACCGACTGTAGTCTTTTTCTCTACATGCTAAACCACTTGATTCACCCCGTTGTTTATCTAGAAGTTGATCTATTCTACTCACATTTTTGCCTACCTGGTTCCTCATTTTTCCTCTTAACATGTTATTCCCCCCCCCCCAAAAAAAACATTGTTTTCATTACGCACCTTATTTTACACCTAGTGATGTCTTCACTGAGTATCGGTGTTACTCTATGTAGGGCAGACCGATCATTTCTGGTGGGAGCGGTTTGTACATAGCTTCCTAAAAAAGCATCACAGCACCTTGCCTTAATACTCCTCAAGAGCCCTCAGACCTGATGCAAATCATGGAATGTCTCTTGGGGAGGATTATTGAGTTATTCACCCACCAAGGTATATCCAAATACCTTGGTGGGTATTTCTAGGCAGGCTGCATTTGCATGCACATTATCCTAAGTAACACCCAAGTGTGATTCTGAACCCCCATAATTGAAAGAACCGAAATCCAATTTATAAAAGGGGTGATCAATAGACAGGTTGTGGGGCAACGAGCTTGATGTTGTGTGTCCTCCATGAGGTGGGAGCTACCTGACTTGCTGCAGCTTCTAATGCACATTGTGAGGCGCTCACAGTGTGCAGTGACATCACACTAAGCATTTTCAGTACAGGAGAGGAGCTGGTGCAGCCGTGCAATACTGAAGGTAAGGCCAGAGTTCAACTTTAAAGACCACGGATGCCAGTTCCGCTAACTGCAGCAATTTTGTGTTCCATAATTCTATCGCTGCAGACCTACATGTGAGATTTGCCCTATTTTTAGCTTGCTTTATCTGAGAGTTACTGTTCAGCTCTGATGGTTTCTGTTCTAACAGCTGATTGAGTTTGTGCCCTTTGGGCTCTCGTGACTAGTGGCCAATTGCTTTTCCTGCCTAGGAGCTTAAGCTGGCCATAGGCTGTTTGAATTTAGCTGATTCACGGGAATCGCCTGCAATTCTAACAGTGGGTGGCCCTGTTGTTTCGACAAACGTTGATTACACAATTGAGCTTTTGGCCACATAGGGACTGGTGCCAATCAGCTGCAGTCACTGTTATTAGCAGGCGTCCATCCTGTTAAGTGTGGGTGGAGGAATTTATTAGATTTAAGGTGCCCACACACCTTGCGATAATCGTAGATCGCAGGAAATCCAACCGATCGTACGATTATCGTAAGGTGTGTGGAAGCCGTGCGACCTCTACTACTGTACGGTCGCACGACTTTTATCTTACGAACATGTTCGAAAACCTGCCGAGAATCGTACGATTTCTGGCGGGTGTGTAGCATGCTCGTAAGATAAAAGCCGGATGGGGCGGTATGCGCAAGCGCACACTGCCCGTTCGGCATTGCGGTCATCGGAAGCCTGCCCCTCAGCGGGGCGGGCTTGCGATCATCGCAAGTACGATCTGCCTGTCCAAGATGGGCAGATCATACGGTTTTTTAATTAGCTTACACCCATCGCAAGACAAAAGTCTTTCGATGGTTGTAAGGCGTGTGCCCAGCCTTACCCTGCAGTCTCCACTTGTACCTGTCAGATGTACGCAGTCTTTATGTCATCTGTTATGTCTGCAGTCAATGACAGTCTTTTCTAGCATTACTTACGCAAGTTACTATCTGCAGTCTTTTGGTGGTTTCATTTTTTGCAGTTAGGTGTTGTATCTAGTGAGATATCCATCGCTTATGTAGTCAGTGCAGATTTTATTTGTCATCTATTGGCTAATTTTAGATGCACATAAACCTTTGAAAATCCTTTAAAGTCGGTCTCTGGAGGGGGGGTTACTACCCTTGTAGTGGGGCTTCCCCCGTACTGCAAAGGTTAACTGCTAGTTTATGTCTAAGGGTGTTGTGTAAAAGCACTTTTACTCACCTGATTCCCGCTCCGGACTCTCTTCCGCTAGTAGGAGGCCTACTTCAGTAGGGAAGTTGTATGGACTCACTGCAGTTTTTTGGGTTCTTCTCCGGAGTATGGGAGTCAGCCAGATTTATACTACAGAGGTGTCTGTTTCAGGTCTGATCCTTGATAAATTCTTTCTAGTAAATCAGAGCAGAGCAACGCTGAGGTGCACAGCAAGGCAGCCAATTGTTGTTTGGGGTCACTGAACGATGGACTGCTTCTCTCTGCCTTATCAACTAAAGTTTGTACAATTTTGCTTTAAATAATGTTTGTATAATGTGTGCCCTCTTGTATTCAGCTGCTGGATCTGTTTGACAGTGAAGATCCTAGGGAGCGAGAGTTTTTAAAGACTGTACTTCATCGAATATACGGCAAGTTTCTTGGCCTAAGAGCGTTCATCAGAAAGCAGATTAACAACATTTTTCTCAGGTACTGCAATCAGTTTACATTACGAATATGACTGTGCACACTACAACCTAATGCTGTTTTCCATTAGCTGCTTGATTGTTTTGTTTTACCTTTAAAAGAGAACTATGGACAAACCTTTTTTGGTTGTAGTTCTCTTTAGTATCACATGTATTAATGTCCTCCTGTAACCTAAGGTTTGAAAAATGAAGATCACCAGCACATGAAGAATGAGATAAAGCCAAGTGTTCTTTTATTTAAAGAAGCATGTCAAGTGTTTGAAGGCTCCTTAAAACACTTGTGACATGCTTCATTGAATAAAAGAACACTTGGCTTGATCTCATTCTTCGCGTGCTGGTGATCTTCATTTTTCAAACTCTGGTTTTGCATGGCGCCATCCGTGGACATCACTTCGAGCACCATCAAAAAACTACCAACGATTTCCCTTGCTGTATGGTGTGGAGGAGATACCTTGTTTTACTCCTGTAACCCAAAACACAATATGGTCAGGATCCACCCCGCTGCCTGATTGACAGCTTGCTCTACCTCTCTAGAGCCAGCTGTGCCCACCCCTTTCCCTGTTTGTCCATCCAGTCAGCGCTGGAGAAATGGAGTGGGGAGGGGGGACTGCCTGTCACTACTCTGCAGGGAGAAGATCAGGACTAAGTGATCAGAAGTATGTGACCACTGAGTTGTCGATCAGTAGAGCCGACGTGTGACAGCTACAGGTTCACACATCGGCTCTATCTATGGGGATGAGTGTATTTCACTCATCCCATAGTTCGCTTGTGTACACTTTGTCCATCTGTGAATAACACGGTCCTTATTATATTTCAATGTGGCTTTCCAGCTCAAACAAGTTAAGTGTATTGAATGGGGCCTAGATGTCTGGTTTTGTACTTGCAGTGCTTTGAGATCCTTGTAAAAAATCTGGTCAGTGATTTACTTTTACAGAAATTAAAATATTGACTAACTTGTTTTCCATAACAGGTTTATCTATGAAACTGAGCATTTTAATGGTGTGGCGGAATTGCTGGAAATACTGGGCAGGTAATGTGTATTTGTATTAAAGTCTTGAGGTGTTTTTCCACTTTTGCAGTTAAAATTAAGAAGCCGCCCACTTTGTGTTCCTAGTCGCATCGCGTATCTAAAAATGATTTGTTATAAAATATGTCTTACCTTTTAGATGTTTGTGTAGCAGGCGTTTGCAAGCTGCTGTCTTTTTTTTAAATTTTTTAGTAATGGCAAACTCTGGCTGTCCTGTAAAGCAACCTTTTTTAAACCTTTTTTTTTAAGTGCCTTCTGACTTCCTCAGGGGTGACTCAAATTTTTCACACAGTCATGCCTCTGATGTGAAGAAGGCTCCTGATGTAAAAAGGGGGCTGTGATGTTAAAGGGACTTTCACATGTGGAGGGGGAATCCTACATCCATACCAGACCCATATTTCGTATAAGGGTTTGATATGGCTTTTGGAGAGACCACATGTCGTTTATTACAGTATTGGCATACAAGGGTTCCATGACCGAAAAATAGAGAGTCTAGGGACAGACAGAAGCTCCCCCTCATTAACATATAGTACTTCTAGATCTTTATAACTGATGATATCTGCCAGCACAGTACAGGCAGGTTTCATTATGTTAATGTTAAGCTCCTCACCCCCTTGCACCCAGAGTGAAGTTCAGTACAGAGAACAACTTTTCTTTTAGAATTAAGGATGTTTTATGCTATTTTATCCCCCCCACCCCCACCCCCCTAAACAAATGTTCTCTTTTGGGTTTGGTATTTCAGTGTTAAAACCATCCTCTAGCTTTAACAGAAATCCAAGCCACCCCTTGCTTCCCCCCAAGCACATTTGTATGTCCACTGAAAGGTGCAGTGACAGGAAAGCTGTATTCATCCTCTGGATCAGTGCTCTCAAAGTACCGGCTCGCAGCCAGCTGACAAACCAGGTACGTGGTCACTTACCGCGTACCTGACTTGCCTAAGCAGCTACACAGTCTGCATCTCTGTCAGATGTAGACCGCATAGCTGCTGCTGGCTGTGCTCTCTGTTCCTTTCGGCCGGATCGCTGAGGTCCGGCCGAAAGAACAGCGAAATTATGGATTGGTAAGGTCTGTAGCAGACTTTACCAATCACCACTTGATCACCAGGGAATGATCTGCCTTCTCACAGCCTCCTCCCTGCATAAACGTAAGCAGGTGAGGGGGCTTCTATTTTTATGTGGGGGGAAGGGGGGTATATTGTTATATGTGGGGGCAGAGAGTACGGGGGGAGTATACTGGGGAGTATATTGTTTTATGTGTGTGTGGGGGGGGGGTCAGGGAACATGGGAGGAGTATATTGGGGAGTATATTGTTGTATGTGTGTGGGGGGTGGTCAGGGAACATGGGGCACATATTCACACCTGTATGTTGGGGTGCAATCAGGGATTCCTGCGTCAGGAACTTGCGTTTTACTGCAGCAGGAATCCCTAATATGGCTTTTACAAGCGGCAGCCTTCACCCATTGAAGTCAATAATCAGGTGGCGACGGCTGCATGTAAACGCCTGCACACTGCATGTAATGGTGTGTGATATGATGACATGTAGTTAGGAATCATTCTCCTTGGATGCATGATCGATGCATCCAGGGATAACAACTGATTTCCTAACTACATGTTATCATATCACACACCATTACATGCAGTGTGCAGGCGTTTTCATGCAGCGGTTGCCACCTGATTATTACCTTCAATGGGTGACAGTTGCCGCTTGTAAACACCAAATTAGGGATTCCTGCTGCAGTAAAACGCAAGTTCTTGACGCAGGGATCCCTAATCGCACCTAAACATAAAGGTGTAAATGGGGCCTTATTGTGTGTATATTAGGGTTTGTAGTTCTGGTTGTGGGGGATTGTGCATATTTCTGTGTGTGTGTGTGTGTGTGTGTAAAGTATGAAATTTGGCAAGTGGCCCCCATGCGGAAAAAAACATTTGTCCAGTGGCCCCCGAGTGATTTGAGTTTGAGACCAACAGCCTGTTAAAGGCATTGCAGAAAATGGGGCAAGATTTCTCAAGCAGGTGACACCTCGCTATATAGACATGGCTGGAAATCCTGCTCTATCTTCATTTAGAACAGCGAGATCCGTTTTGTTATCTTGTGGACATCAGCACTTGTCAACTTTTGTAAAAGTAGGCGTTTACTGAATACCTCCTAATTAAAATAACCGAAGTACCCTCAGACATTGGTACATTTATTTCTAATAACCCCTAATTATGTAAAATGGTTTTGAATAACAAGTATTGGCTCATATCCATTTTGTTCCTGATATGCTAAGAGCTGTTAAAATTGCCATAAGAGTCAGAAATATCCTGTGATCACATAGAGGTTCCGTCAAGGGTATGCATGTAACTATATAAGGCCTATAGTGTATATGCTTGTTTATTTAGTATATGCGTTGAGTTTTCATTCAAACCTGTGGAGACTTCCTCCAGTGAATATTGGGTGATGTGCTTTGGCTTTGCAGGATGTGACTCCTCACTTACACTCCTTATGTTTTCTTCACAGCATCATCAATGGATTTGCATTGCCGCTAAAATCCGAGCACAAGCAATTCCTCATGAAAGTCCTGATTCCTATGCACACAGCTAAGGGCCTGGCTCTGTTTCATGCACAGGTCAGTGTAGTGCCTACATGCTGTCACATTGAGGGGAGAAGTATTTGCTGTGTGAAGTCTTTGCACCTGTTGCTATCCTGTAATTGAATTGGGAGTGCTCAGAAAGAACACATAATGAGCTTTTAAAATCAACCTGCTCACTGCAGAGCAGTATTATCCTGAGACAGGGTTTTTTTTTTAATAGGTAGCTGTCATGACGCATACATTTGCAGCCATTATATAGAAAAGCTGCACTTTTACACTGGAACCATTTAGCTAATGCACATTGCTGCTCATGCCCATGACGTGATATAACCCGATACAGTCATACTTATTGTAACACTCACTTCACACTCTATATACAAAGAAGTATTTTCTCCCTCCAGTGGTTCTCTGTATCTCGGACAAGTACCCTTGCTGAAGGACTCTTGTGATGAAAAGATTTACACTAAGGCCTTGTTCACACCAAGCGCGGAGCAGATCCGGACCAGAGCAGGTGCAGACCGGATCAAAACTGCGTCCAATGTATTCCTATGGTATTTTGACCTCAAGTTCACATTGCAGCGTGCGGATCCAGATCAGATCCAGACCAGGTGAAAAAAACTGCGGCAAGCCCTATTTTACCTGCTCTGGATCTGGTCCGGAACGCATAAAAAATGCATCAAACGCATGCAAGTGCCTGAAAGACCATTTTAAACGTAAATTTATTTATTTTTTTTTAACAAAAACCGGCCCTAAACGCGTATAAAACGCGGCACAACCCACTGCACTGCGTGTGCAGAAACCTGACCGTATCTGGTCTGCATTTGGTGTGAACAAGGCCTTAGACAGTAGCATACATTGAGACCTAGAGAGAGATAAATGTTAAACCACAATTGCTTTCCAGAATTGACTAAACAAGAAACATTGTCTACATTAGCAATATGGCTGCTTTTAAGTACATAGAATACTATTGTGTATTTGACCATGGATGGGAGACTTATTTTTCTACACATTGATAAGAATACAGCAGAGCTGAGACTAGGAGGGGAGACGTGCACAAGGAACCATCTTTTTGTGCTGCTGCGTTCATGTGCTAACAAAGAGCATGCTGATAAGAGAAGAGATTTCTTACAAAGTTACATTGTCTGAGTCGGCATGATTATTCTCCCTCTCAGCCTAGGCATAGTCACATGTCTGGAGCACAGTGGCAGCTTTTTAAAGATGAAAGGCAGTTTTTGGTTTTTTTTATAATGTTGCTGATTATAATGATTTGTTAGTCAATGATGTATTACATAGTTACATAGTATTTGAGGTTGAATAAAGACATTAGTCCATCAAGTCCAAACTATTAGGATCTCATTCTAGGAGTACCTGTACCCCTGTATATTACCTGTACCCCTGTATATTACGGTCCCTTAAGAAATCGTCCAAAAGTTTCTTGAACAATTCCACGTTCTTTGCTGAAATCACCACCGGTGGCAGTGAGTTCCAGACCCTAACTGATCTTACTGTGAAGAACCCCCTTCGCCCCTTGTGCTGGAATTTTTTTCCACCAATTTTAGGTGGTGGCCTCTAGTTTTTGTAATGGGGTTAATTTTAAACAGTTTATCGCTAATGTTGCTACCACCATTGAACATTTTGTACATACAGATCATATCCCCCCTTAATCTCCTCACCTCCAATGTGAACATGTTTAAATTTAGTAGCCTTGTCTCGTAGCTCTGGTCCTCCATACCCCTAATTAGTTTGGTTGCCCTCCGCTGGACTTTTTCCAACTCAAGGACATCAAGAGCGGTATTCATAGCTTTAATTTAAGCAGGGATGCACCAATACTAGTATCGATACTGAGTATTTGGCCGAGTACTCCTACTCACCCAAATGCTCCGATACCTTCCCCGATACCAGAACTTTCGGTCAGAGGAACATTTCCTCGGACCGGCAGTGCCGTAGGGGAACATGGAGCCAGCTTCCCGGGCAATCAGGAAGCTGAGCGGCATGTCTTTACCCACCGACCGGCCTTCTGATAGCCCGGGAAGTCGGCTCCATGCCAGTGGAAGCATTGGTATCGGCACTTGGTATCGGTGAGTACCGAAAGTAAAATATCAGTACTCGATAGAGAAAAAACGCTATCTGTGCATCCCTAAGTTTAAGTAATACAAGCTGGTAAGGACCCACATAAGGTCACACTATAATGTGTGGATCCACCATCACCTGCAAAACATGTACTGCTGGTGGGACTAAATGACATGACAGTGTTTGGAAAAGCTTGTCCATTTGCTACTTTTTTGCACCTTATAAGCTGGCCTCTTGTATTCTGTAGCTCACCTCTCTTCTCCATAAGGTTCATGCTGGCTGGACTGGTTTCGATATCACTTTCTTTAAATGTATCTGATGAGAAGGTGGTTGGGAATGGTTAGTGCTTCTGTTTGGTTTTTTATTGCTGTCCATGTCACTGCTGGGGAGCTTTAATCTCTATCCCAATGACCATAGTCACTGGGACTGGAATTGGGAGAAAATAAGTTTTGAGTGGTCACCATGGCGGAGATAGAGATGACATCCTCCAATGAGGACTTTTGTGTCTACTTTTATAGAGGACTTCCCATCCTTTAGAGAGATATCTACTCTCTTCCTGTTGTCTCTCAGACAGAAACAAAGCCAACTGACGTGGGTTTTAACCATTCTTACCGATCTTTTAACCCACGTCCTCTGTAGCCAAAGATGCAATTTTAAACACACCACACGTGTATTTGTTTTGGTTTACTAGATGATCCAAGCTGATTTGTCTGAACATAGAAGCCATTGCATAAATCATTTTGTTTTTTATTTTTTTCCCCTCCTTTTTGTAGCTTGCATATTGCGTGGTCCAGTTTTTGGAGAAGGACGCAACTTTGACCGAGCCAGTGAGTATTTCGACATTCCTTCCTTATGTACTTTGGCTGTGTGTTCTCTATCTGAGAAATCCTAACTTGTAAAGTGAAAGAATGTTCCCTTAACGTGTATGAAGCCAGGCCGGAACTGAGTTGTACCACAAGGTCCTGCAGCTGCAGCCCTGGCCTCTGTGCTCAAAACAACCCTGTATTGGGAATTTTCCATTTCTTGTTCTTGGTCCTACCAGACATATCTACAAGTCTTCTGCATGCGAATCTAAAATAATAGTTTAGTGCTTCAGTAAGCACTGTTTTGTTCTGTGATGACCCTATATAATAACCCATGTAAAGTTTCCCGCACAGTTGCCCTCTCGCCAATAGTAGGTTTGTGGTCCAGTGATTGTTGTCAAACACACGAAGGAAAAAATAAATAGGAGCTGCATGTGACTTTACCTCCTCAGCTGTCAAAGGGAAGGTTGGAAGAGCACCGACACATCAAGATATCTAGTGCTCTTAAAGGATAACTACTAAAGATGCCCGGAAATATATTTTTAGAACGAAATCCAAATATCACAATTTGTCAGTCCGAAATGGAAAATGACTCCCACCCCCCCTTCCCTCCCAACCTTTACAAAAAATGTTAGTGACATTTAAAGTCTTTTTTTTTCCCTTTTTTTTTTTAACCTATATCTACTGCTAGCAAGCTATGTAACTATATACTATGTCCTCAGTTATTTATAAACATTGCTGTGATCAGAAATGATCACACCGCCGATGTTTGAGCAGTACATGAAAGGATCAGCAAATATATGTGAGCAATCCTCCCTTCTCTCCATCCTGAACCTTTCTGCCCCTCCCGCAGCTCTCCTCCTCCCCGCTGACACTGTCAGTCATGACGGCTTCTCTTCCTCCTGCTGGACACCGGCAGGTGGATCGCCTCAGTGTCCCCCCTGATCCCCGCTTCCTCTACCAACACAGGCGGGGGAGGGTGGCAGGGATCGGAGGGGACACAGACCAGAGCGTTTGCAGCCGGTGCCCAGTGGGGAGGAGGGAAGATGGGGATGCACCGCATTTTTGTCCGTTAGTTTTTTGGGGGTTTTTTTTTTTTTACTACATGTAGTGCCTCCTGTATTCATAGACCGCCCCATAAAAATCTGTGGTGGGAACGTCTTTGTATCCTAAGGTGCCTATAGAAATTTGAAGACTGTGGTCTGGCTGTTTTTGTGTAATAATCTATGAACCTCCAGCAGACCCCTTTGGTCAAAAGGTTTCAAAGGAAAGGTCAATGAATTGCCACAGTTTTCCACTTCATAGCCATCCTCTGCTCTTTTGCAGGTCGCCTCACCCTCTCTTCTCCATCATGTTTAGATACTTTAATGTGGTCTGATTTTGCATGCATATTTAACGTTGTCTAGCTTCATTATTGCTTACAATACATCTCTTGCACTGTGCGTGTGTACTAGACGACAAAGAATGAAGTGACAGTACCAATGCATGACGGAAGAGATTTTTATCTGTTGAGTACCAAGTAGTGTTCAAGTCTCTGGGCATAGTCAAGTGAAAATAAAAATCATCAGTGGTCACGCGCTGATAAGTGGCAGAATTCTCCCTTGCATGGAAACCCTCCACAGCCATCAGCTATTGTAACAGTCCTGACGACCATTTTCAACACTGTCATAGTTCCGAGTCACTTATGTCCACAATGCATTGCAACCTGGCCTGAAAAACATATTGATTTTTTAAAAGTGATTGATCAGGTTTAAGTGGCATTCTATTTCAAGTGCTATTTATTTTCCTTGTTTTTGTACAGCGTTGTGGTGTATGTTGGTGCTTTATTATGAAATGAGTAATGTACCACAGTAGTGATAGCAATTATCCATAGCTCTTAAATATTCTCAGTCAATGCAGAGGTAAATGTTTACAAAGCCCATCCACCTGAAATAGCAGAGTTTACCTTAAAGTACATATGAATGTAACATAGAGACAGCTTGCCGATGTAGTAAATGAATCTTTTTCCTTTTGAGTGGGCGACAGTGGAGATGAGCGCTGCTCTCAGATTGGAAAGTAGGTGTGCTAAAAATAGCCAGGATGTTTATGTGGGAGTATAGCATGAAGCTGTATCCTCTGTTCTGTTAAATACCATAAACATGAAAGACACGAAGAGCTGACACCAAGAGACTAATGGAACGCAATGGCCTTTTTAGCTATAGGAATTGCTTCAGATCAATGACAATTAAACTGATGATATAGAGGAATAGTAATGTAATAATTGTATGGCTTGAGCCTTCAGGCATACAGTTACTTTGTGTGTGTGTATATATATATATATGTATATGTATATGTGTGTGTGTGTATATACACACAATTACATACATACACTCGCGCACACACACGCTAATGTTTGAGCCCCACAGTCCTATGACATCTTTTGGTATCTTCAGGTGAAGAACTATTACAATTACTGCGAGGCTGAAGTTTACATAAGCACCCATACTATTGATTAGCTGAATATCATTTTCAGGTATTGAGCATTTGTAGGCAGATGTCTAATTTGTACAATCTCTGTTTATCAACTAGTATTTTATTGTCCGTATTTTATTGAGCAGGCATCTGCTCTGCCCAAAATAGGCGAAGTGAAGGGCGTGTTGTCTAGCAGGCACCCGACAAGTTACCTGCTTTTACTGTAAACGTACATACCCCTTGCCCGCTACACGGCAGGCACCTTGATACCAACCTGTCACTTCATGGTATAAGGCACATTCGAGCACCCTACTTCCTCCGTTCAGAACTGGATGGTTGAGCAACTAGGAGCCAGATTTAGGTCACATGGGGCAATGTGCTTTTCAAGTATCAATATTCAGAAAGTATTTATTTGCTTAAAGTGACACTAAACTTGAGTTAAATCTTGAAAATACATTCAAGTATCTTAAGAATTAACAATACTGTATCTTATTTGTGTGTTTCACTTGGCTGTAGATCCTCAAATCATCTCTGAATTGGTGCTGACACTGTCCTTCCTTCTGGAGGGGAGCTACTTTTGTTCCCCATGGTCCCTGTGTGTGTTGTAAAGTAGCCACCGCTCCAGGCTCGCTCCTATGATGGACTACAATCTCAATACAAGTTAGTAAACTAAACATGAGATTGTAGTCCATCACAGGAGTGAGCTTGGAACGGTGTCTACTTTACAACACACACATGGACCATGGGCAACAAAAGTAGCCCCCCTCCAGAAGGAAGGACAGTGTCAGCACCAATTCAGAGATGATTTGAGCATCTACAGCCGAGTGATACACAAATAAGATAACATTTTTGTTAATAGTTAAGGTACTTGAATGTTTTTTTAAGATTTAACTCCTAAGTTTCGTGTCCCTTTTAATAATGCCATGGTGCTCTGGTGGTAGGAGAGCAGAACAAAGGTAACCGCAGGAACTTTATGCAATGCAATAGACCTTTAAAGTATCTGGTTGGTCTCAGTGAAAAATGTCTATAATAATGTGTCATTACTGGCTAAAGGAGACTCTACCAATATGTAGCTACAACTAGCTGTTGTAGAACAAGTTTCTTAGTGGTGGAGCAAGATGAAATGACAACAGCTGGAATGCCAAAAGTTGCACACAAAAAATGGTAAATGGTTATCTGTGTTTGTCCTGTGGAATGTTCAGATAGCGCTCAACATTCCAGCTTGGTGTCTTTACTACCCCCATGGCAATGTTAATATGTGAGCATTCTTTTTCTTTGAAGGGAGTGGTTACTTCCAAGTATAAGGAGATCATGTATTTCTCTTCAGATTTTTAAAAGTAATAGTCCTGCAATAAGCTCACAAACCACAGGATATTTGTTACCTTTATTAGTTATAAAAAGGTTCTTCAGTGTCCCTTTCTGATTTAGTTTCACCTTATTACTAGCGCTTGATGTTTACTAACTCCATGTCTAAGCGCCACCAGCTACCATTCTTCTGTTAAGTCAGACTGCTTTAGTGACCTGCAGGAGTCTTCTCAGTAGAATTGCAGATGGCTAAAACATAGTGTCTGGAGACAGTTTGTATATTGCATTCATAAGCACTAAATAACAGGAAAGGTAATCTCACATACAGAATTCATCTGCATAAAACTGTAAGACATCCCCGAGTTTTAAGTTGAATTGGTTTTCAAGACCGATTTTTTTTTCAGTATTCTTCTATTGTTCATTTTAATTTTGCGTTTGCTTTATTTGCAGGTTATTAGAGGATTGCTAAAGTTTTGGCCTAAAACATGTAGCCAAAAAGAGGTAATAATTGTTTTCTTTTTAATATCACAAGGTTGTGTATAACTTCTAAAAAGAATCTTCAAACATTTCACGTATTGTAGTCATGAACATGTATTGAATTTTTTCTTTTGTCACAGGTGATGTTTTTAGGTGAAATCGAAGAGGTTTTGGATGTAATAGAGCCAACCCAGTTTAAAAAGATTCAGGAACATTTGTTTAAGCAAATATCAAAGTGTGTGTCCAGTTCTCACTTTCAGGTAAGTGGAGTATAACAAACTGGGACAAAGACACTGCTGTGGGATCTAGAAAGATCTAGCAGTCATGGAAAACATGCTTTAAAGTGCTCTGTCTCTGCTGGCATAGTGGTTTTATTCATACATAATTTTATTTATTTAATTTTATTCATTCATAAGCGCCGTGCAAACTGATGCGCTATATAAATCCTGTTTAATAATAATACAGAACTTCTGTTTTGTAGCTGTTTAAAGAAGTGATCTATCTTAATAAAATCTAAAAATGAATGTTCTGCTCTGCAATCCTGTATCTTTCTGTCCTATAAAAATTAATTCTGACGTATTGGGGGACACAGGCCTGCAATAGTATTTTACTTGCATGTATACTGCCACCTACAGGAGGTTTTGACACTGCAAGTGAAATTAGGGACCAGCCCCCTCTAGTGGCTATATTCCTGTATGTGTTAGAAAGCTGAGTTTAGCTTTATATCTGTTTGTTTTCTTGGGTTGCAGGAGCTAGCTTCCTGTTGTTTTTAAATACCCTTTGCCCACATTTTGGGTTGCTTTTGGACCTCCAACATATAGTATTGAAATGTAATCATCGTCTTCTATCAAGGAGTTTTAAAGCAAAACGTGAACTGCCCAGTGTCTCACTCACTGCTCTTGGGTCCTCCAATAGAATATAGACCCAAAACACACAGCTCAAAGCACCCACAAATGGCTAAGAACAAAACATTAGACTGTTCTGAAGTGGCCCACTTTGTGCCATAATCTAAATCCTATTGGAAACATCTATGAAGGAGCTGATACATGGAGTTTGGAGAGGGCTCTCGTTAGCCCTCATTCACACTAGAAAAGGCCGGCACGTACAGCTCTGTGCTGCGTGCACGGCCGTATCGGGCAGCTCCCGGGAAGGACAGGTGCTGCAGGTGATTAGTATGCAGCCCCTGTCCTTCTCTATGGCGCTACGCGTCCGTACGCCGCCCTACGCTCACCCCAAGTGCAGGTCCGTACCGGTGCGTGTTTCCTGGCACGGACGCAGACGGGATCCATCCTGTCAGCGTACGAGTACAGACACCCGCACGGACGTGCAGGGCAGGTGAGCGTAGGGCGGCGTACGGCCGCATACTCCCATAAAGGACGGGGGCTGCATACTAATCACATGCAGCACCTGTCCTTCCTGGGAGCTGCCCGATACGGCCGTGCATGCAGCACGGAGCTGTACGTGCCGGCCGTTTCTAGTGTGAATGAGGGCTTAAACCTGAGAACGTTGATCAAGAAGAATGGGCAAAACTACCTGTTGGCAGGTGAAGTCTCATTGAGGGCTACAGGAAGTCATTTGCAGTCATTGCTTGCACCTGTGGCTACTTATCAAAGAAAACAATCTGTAGACTATGCAAACGTTTTTGTTTTGATACACCTGGTATGTAATCAGCTAATTTAGGTTTGGTTTAAATAAAACTCCATTACATTCACTTACAGAGATTCAGGAATAAATGGTGTTTTAGGAAATGCATGAATAAAATGGTCAGTTACAGCCATTACAGCGAAAGCATTGTAGCAATGTAGTGGCATGGCACAGATGACCATTTTAAACGGGACATGTTATTTACTTATACAGTGCAAAATTTGTCTTTGTACTTGACTGACCAAAGTTTGGGAAACATTGATTATTATGCCCATCACTTTCTACAGCATTTCTGTGCCCATGTTAAGTCGCTTTGCTGTGGTTATGCATAGCCCCTTGCACTCATTTTACTGTGACTTGTCAGTGGGAGTTTCCACTCGGAAATCACCCACGGTGTCTTGTTGAGACTGTACAATGCAATCGTTGTGTAGACCTATGATTAGAAAATTGTCTTCCAATTAAACAGTGATGTGAAATGTTCTGTGTGGGTCACTCCATACGTCTGAGTGTTGTAATTCTCTGCTGTGCAGGTTGCAGAGAGGGCCCTGTACTTCTGGAACAATGAGTATATTCTTAGTCTGATCGAAGAGAATATTGAAAAAGTTCTACCAATCATGTTCGGTAGTTTGTACAAAATCTCCAAAGAACACTGGAACCCGTAAGTGTATTGCAACGTTCTTCAGCAGAATTTCTTTTTCCTAAAGTGAAATTTCAAGTTACTTTTACACACACCTAACGGTTAAGGTTTAAAAAAAAAATAGAGCAGCCATTCCACCTGTGGGCATGCACACACAGTGCTGGATGTGGGGGAGTTGGTACTATTTTGGGATGTATGTAAAGCCATTTTTTTCACTAAGTTTTGGATAGTGTACGTAAGGGTTCAAACCCCGTTTTTTACTCTGTTGTCTGTCGTGTTGGCGATTATTTCCCTTTCTGTCCTGGGGATGCAACAGAATGTGAGATTAAATCTCTCCAAAGTTAGGGTAATTTCCCTCTTATACAGTTGTCACCTGAACAGGTGCCTCCATTGGAAGATTTCCACTTAATTCTTGTTCCAGCAACAACTGTAACATTGTGGACAATATTTCAGAACCACTTGGTCCCTTCGTCAGGCAAACCTGAGGAAGGGACCACGTGTGTCCGAAACGTGGCTATGTTGTGACGCCACAGAAGTCAATAAATATCGACTGAACTTGAGCTGACGTGCGAGTGACTTCTTCATATTTACACTGATTTGCGGAAGCATGCGTGGTTGCTTGGCACCCACCTGATACTCGAGGGTACTATCCGGTCAGGGATTTTGATTTTGGATTTCCCATCACATTCTATCACAGTGACAATGGTCATTGGAACAACGAGAGAGGGTGACTCTTCCCAGCAATAAAAACAGGCAGAGGTTTAAACCTCTCACCTCTCTATCCAGAATAAAAAAAAAACACTTCTAATTGGACCTAACAAATAAGCATGGTTTGCCTATTTAAGAAGGCTATACACACACCGAATTTCGGCTGGTTCTTCATGAACCAGCTGAAATTGCCTGTGTGGCTGCCGCTGTCAGCACCCTTCTGCCCGGCATACAATAGAAATGGCTGAGGATTCCTCAATCAATGCTCCTAAGAGTTTATGGTGGAATCTGTTCTATTTTGTGCTTTGAACAAAAAATAAAACCTTGTGTCCCTGGCTCTAGTGTGGCGCCGAACTTAAACCACTGCAAAAACACCTGGGATTTTTTTTATTTTATTTAAATGAATCTGTGCCCAGATCACCCTCACTGTATATTCTGACCAAGCAGTTTAAAACAAGTTCCCGTTCACCTCTGTATCGCCAAGCATTGTGGATAAATCTAATTTTTATAGTTCACAACACAGGCAGTGAAATCTCTGCTGCTTTCTATGGAGGGCAGAATCTTGGCAGCCTACCAGCCCTCTAATGTAAACACACAGCAGGTTTTTCTTAGCTGTTAGTACTGACTGAGGGCCCTGCCACACCATCAAGAGTGCCTTCGGCCTCTGGAACGCAACCCGGCCGGCTCCGTTTTTTTGAGGGTGGGAGGGGGCGTGGCGGTGCATTGAACTCAATGTATTCCGGTACATTGTGATCTGCAAAAAATGTTGAAAACCCCTATTTTTTTGCAGATCACACTGTACCTGAACGCAGGCACTAATGTGCCACGCGTTCGGGTGCCTGCGAACGCACCGAGGGGGGCATGCCTGCGGTGCCATTGAGTTAAATAAGCCACCACACCCCCTCCCGCCCCCCAAAAAACTGAGCCGGCCGAGTTGCGTTCCAGAGGCCAAATGCACTCCTGGTGGTGTGACAGGGCACTAAAACCATATTAGATAAATGAACTTTGCAAATTTAGTGCATATCATTTGTTTATTTTGACAAATAGAAGGACATTGACATGGCATAAAGAAGCCTTTCACTGGGAGAATGATTTTGGACAGACCTTCACCTGTTATATGTACCTAAGGAGGTGTCCTACTAAAAGCCCTTTATACTTTATCTTGAAAAGCAATAAGTGTGATTCCAAACAAACTGGATTTGTATTTTCAGCTAGGAAAAGCATAAGAGAAAAATCTGGTCCCCTGCTTTGGCAGAAAGGGCTGTGAGGTATGACAAGCTGGGTTAAATCACAGGACTGGATGGACAGAAATAGTTTGACAGAATAAACCGCTCCTTTTATATGTTCAGTTCTATTTAGAGATGTGACACTCAGTTAAATCAAGGCCACATTTTCTGACTAGTTGTTTACCTGCATTGAAATTGCAATAAGATTATTTTTTTTTATTCTTAGGACTATTGTAGCCCTCGTGTATAATGTGCTGAAAACATTAATGGAAATGAATGGGAAACTCTTCGATGAACTTACAGGGTCCTACAAAGCAGAACGGCAAAAGTATGTTTAATGTTACCATTTCAAATCCTAATTTTTATTTTATTTTTTTATTTACACAAGATCAGCTTAGGATTCTGAACTGATTGTATGCTACACTGTTTTAAAGGGTAATTCAATTGCTGTTCATTGCTAAGAAACCTAATGTCACTGCTGTCGTCCTCACCAGTTTTCTAAATATGATTTGTAGTCTTATGCTGGGCACTCCCACACAGAACAGTTACTCTTTTAAGTGCAAGTACAGATCTGAATACTGACAGCCATTCTGCTCAGTCCATCCACCGTACGTACTCAGAATTTTAAGCAGCCACAATGACCAAGACTGTATACACCACACCAGTCCAGTATAGTCTGGTCGCTGAGAAGGCAAAGTTTGCACCTGCAGTCTATTATTATGGAGGGCATTTATGCATCACATAATTACTTCAACATGGCTTGTATTATTACAGCCCATTCATAAAATTCAGGCCATGATGTGGAGCCTGCAGGGTAAAGCTGAAGAGAGAACTCCATCATTGGAGGAGATACTGGTCATGTGACCAGTCTCTTCTCCTTTTTTGTTTTTCTTCTTCTTTTCAGTTACACTCCACTTGCTGCAGAAGTATGGTTGCAGTAATGGCCCAGTCACACCATCAAGAGTGCGTTCCAGTACGTTCGGCCTCTGGAACGCGACCGGGCCAGCTCACTTTGTTTTGGGGGTGGGAGGGGGATTGGCGGTGCATTGAACTCAATGGCACCGCAGCCACACCCTCCGCTTGCGGTGCAATCGCCGACACCTGAACGCGTGGCACATTAGTGCCTACGTTCCAGTCCAGTGCAATCTGCAAAAAGCGTGGCTGCGGTGCCATTGAGTTTAATGCACCCCCAGACCCCTCCTGCCCCAAAACAAAGTGAGCCGGCCGGGTTGCGTACCCGTGCATTGTAGAGGCGGAACGCACTCTTGAAGGTGTGACACGGCCCTTAGGCCAGATCGGTGCTTTATATAAGAAGCCCGATGCAAGCAGTGGTTTTCTTTTTGGAGAACATTATCCAAATATCAGAATGCTTTGATAGGTGGATATGAGTCTGGAGGAGTGGCTCTTCCTAGGCAGGCTGCATTGCATGCCCACATGTCGTGCTGAGCCTCCATTATTTCAACAACTGAAATCCAATAAATGAAAGAGGCAGGCTGGGGAGGAAATCGGTATATGATGCTGGATGTCCTCCAGCCAGTAAATGAGGTGGGTTGTGTCTGACTTGCTGCAGCTTCTACTGCACATTATGAGAAGCTCAGTGTTCAGTAAAATCAGAGTAAAGTATTTCAGTACTGGAGACAGGTCTGTACTATGGTGCAAGGCTGAAGGGAAGGATGGAGTTCAGTTTTATTGAACAATGTTCTTTGTTTGTTGTTGGTGAACTGTTTTCACTGTCAGGAAAGCCACTTAAAATGTCATGCAGGAGATCAGAACTGAGGAGCAACAAAAGATGAAATAAAGGAAACTGTTTCTCACTTAAGCCGGTTCACACCTGCGTGTATTTCCACGTGTTTTCAGCAATTTATTTGAGCGGCTTTTGGGCATTTATGCGTCTGACTTGAGGTACGTGCGGTGCATTCTAAGACATTGGTGTAAATGGGCAAACGTGCATGAAGACACGTACAAATGCGCATTACCAGGTGTTCCCTATTGGGTGACAAAACGCGCTATAAACTGCCACAAGAAGCTCATGTACTTTCTCGCGTGTCAGGCATTTTATAGCTTGCGACAAAATGCTCAGATGTGCATGGCCATGGGAATGAATGGGGTTTCTTGATTTGCGTGTTTTTGTCACGCAAAACGCCTAGGTGTGAACATTCTGGCGACAGGTAAGTCGCCCGGATCGCTTCTGTTGTAAAGCCGACAGTCGGCTCTACAGATTTAAACATAGTCCCGGCGGCAAAAGTCACCGGGAGTCTGTTTAAACAGCCCCGATGCTGGCGACGTACACTGTACGTCGTCAGTCACGAAGGGGTTAAGGTTTATCTCTGCCTTTAAGGAGTCTAAAGCTGTTAACAAGCCTCTAGTTTTGTATGTGTGCCTTTCGTTATTTGACATATGTCTGAGTATCTGTTCTCAACACTATGCTGAGGCAGGATAGAATTCGACCTTTTTGGACATAGAATACAAGTAGGTAACAGAACCAATGACTGTCCATGAGAGGTAAGGCTGCACTGCTGTATATTTTAAACGTGATGTTTCAGATTATTAAAAACGCCCATCTGTGACTTGTTCTTTATGGTATATGAGGCCCCTATTGTGGCCCCTATTGTATGAAAAGAAAACCAACTGTGCTGATATTAATGATGATTCATACACTTGTGTCCATTCATTAGAGAGAAGAAGAAGGAGCTGGAGCGTGAGGAGCTGTGGAGAAAGCTCGATGACCTACAGATGAATAAGGCCTTGGCTGATCAGCAGAAGATTGCTTTAAGTGTACAGAACAATACAAGTGCCAAATAACACACATTACAACAACCTCTGCTACATAGGCAAAACTTTTGTACATTTTTCTGTTTTTTTTTGTTTTTTCTTCCTGAAAAATGTAAAATAAATAAAACTGACGTTCTCCTTATAAAACAAGAAAACTGTATTTGCGGGGAAAAGCATCCCTCTCTGATAAATTTCTGAGCTGTGCGAGGGGCCATTCATACATTGCAGTGCAACCTATTGCTGACCTCCCTAGCAGCCAGTTATTAAGTGCACCTGTCATATGCAGCACGTGAGGCAGCCATAGGGCAATATCCTTTTGGCAGCCGAAAAGGAGGCTACACTTTTGAAATATCAAATATTTTGGTGAGGGCCGTGAAATGTTCTAATATAGTTTAATTGCCGTGTATATCTTATTTTCAGAGCCACCTCTCTCTACTCTCTCTCTACTCTCTCTCAACCGAGAGTTTGGCCTATTGTGTTCTCTGTTCTTTCATTCTCCATCATAGCAAAGCCACATCCTCCCTACTACTAACCTTCTGATTGACCTTATCGCTCCATACCTTACCTCATTTATAAAAATAACAATCACACCGCACTTCTTAGATATATGAAAGTACTATCGGACACAATGTTGCCTATTGTTATCAGACTCTTTTCACATATAGCTTCTGGGTATTGGTGATAGTGAAAAAATCCTTCTATATAATGAGCCACATTCCTTGGGAAAAAAACACTCTGAGCTTAAAGGGTTTCTAAACCCTCTGTTTTTTTTGCCTATATCTACTGCTAGCAAGCAGTAGATATAGGCAAAATGTTTTTTAAAAAACCGCTTTAACAGCGGTTTAAACTTAGCCTGTTTTCGCCGCACGCTCCCGCCCGAGAATCCGAAACTGCTCTGGCAGCCGCAAAGCATCTTGGGGCATGCGCAGTTCGGATTTTCAGCCGGCAGACCAGCAGAGACGCAAGGTAGGTCTATGGACGCATGCACCCGCATTCAGACACAGCGGGATCAGAAGTGCCAGCAAGCAGAGAGGAGTCAGCGCTGGATCAGAGAGCCGCCGCACCAGCAAAGAAGAAGATCGAATTTAAGTTAAGTGCTGACATTAACTGGGGGGGGGGGTCATGTGACTATATATTGACTTTAATGTCACTTTAAACCAAATTGCCCAACAATCATTAAAGAATATATAAAGTATGGGTGTCAAACATGGAGATTGCAAAGTGTCTGTGTGGTGTTAGAGATTAACAGGCATGGTTTGCAGTGCAAATGTCCACAATAGCGCAGCTGAAATGTATATGTGACCGCAGAGACCATTTCATATCCACAGATAACATCTTTGTGTATGACTACTTGAGCAACACCTGCGCTGGATGGATCAGTTATACTATTCCACTCTCTTCTTCGGGTAATTATCACTTTATGCACTGCTTTGGCTCAGGGGAAGGCGAATCTTGTGCAGTCAGAATGTCCAAGTCGTGTCAGCTCTTTCTTTGGAGAGAGGTTGCTTTGAAAAGCCATTTATGGCAAATGAAGCCTATTATGAAAGTTCTTACTCCCACCAAAGTAAAAAGTGAGATATTTCACATGCAACAAGTCTGTTTTACTTAGTTCAGTCTACCTGTCATGCCACAGTGGCATCGCACGTCCCCAGAATTGGATAGGCTGGCTTTTCTATTTTCAAGGCTTCACAATACTGTCTCCTCTGTATTTCTGTGACAGGCACGCTTTAAAATGACACTAAACTCAGGCATTAAACCTTAAAAATACATTGACATACCTCAACTTTTAACAAAAAGTTGTGTTGTAAAGTAGTCACCGCTCCAAGCTCGCTCCTGTTATTGACGGCAATCTCAATACAAATTAGTAAAGTAAATGTGAGATTGTAGTCCATCACAGGAGCGAGCTTAGAGCGGGGACTACTTAACAACACACACAGGGACCATGGGGAACAAAAGTAGCCACCCTCCGGAAGGAAGGACAGTGTCGGCACCAATTCAGAGATGATTTGAGGATCTACAGCCGAGTGACAAACAAATAAGATTCATTTTTGTTAATAGTTAAGGTGCTTGAATGCAATTTTAAAATGTAACTCCTGAGTTTAGTGTCACTTTAATAATCACCATGCAGAAGCATTACTGTGGTGTTTTATGCCCTGCTGACAATACTTGTCAGGGTAGGGGACACAATATAATTTTTTAACCTGTAATATAAGTGAGATAATTCTGGGAGTGGTAAGGATTATGACTTGAATAATATTATTATTATTTTTTTATTGTGTTGCACATAGTTGTATTAGTCTGCTATGTACATTTTGTATTTGGCATTTTGCATTGCATTGATCTGTTTGATATCTTTCCATTTTGGCTTGGTTGGCCATTTTGTCAGCGTGCAGGCTGTCTGTTCCTAGGCAGTGTCTTAGCTTGGATGATGGTCTGTAATAAGAATGTTACCTCCGCTTTGTATGGAACAGATGCACTCTGAGGATGGTATGGCTCTGTGCACTGCTGTTGCTGTTTTATCATATATGTGGGGGGGGTTTTCTGCTCACAAAAAAAGACGACTTTTAAAGTGACCCTGTCACAAAATGAAAAAATTAGCAAAGAATGTTACTATGTAAGGAAGAGAGAAAATACTCACCTGTGCTACTGATCTTCTCTACTTTCAAGATCCTGGAGAATCCTTATCATCAGACACACTTTTGAAGCTTCCTATTCTTGATCTAGCACCAAGCACTGCTGTTCCTTCTTCTGGCATCCGTCACTGCAGGACACAGTACTGAGCCGTGGTGCTTGGTGAAGGACCAGGAATCTGAAAGTCCTGGAAATATGTTGAATAAGGAGGATTCTCTGGGCATCACATCTGTTGAAGAGAACAAAGATTGGCAGCAGGGTAGGGAAGTATAAATTAATTTTCTTCCGAATTGGGCAACATTCTTTGCTCCATTTTAATTTTGCAATAGGATCACTGTAATGCCAATTCCTAGCACGTAGTCTTAAGCTGCCCAGATACGACAATAATGTTGCCTGATCCAGTTTTTTTTTTTTTTAGCCCTGTCAAGCAACATTCTCATATCTTTTGGCACCAGCAGATATCATCAGCCGACTCATTTAAATGAGAAAGATCAACAGGACAGAAAAAAATAGTTTTCCTGATCTGGCAGCGGAGTTGTCTGACTGCACTGTCTCCTCCGCAATCTCATAAGTTTATGCAGATGACCTGAACTCGTATGTTTCTGCCCAAAACTAAAATTGGTTTTGGTTGACAGTTTAAATTGTCTTTACTGCCACCTGTAAAATGCCAGAGAGGGAAGCTATTGGATCGAATTATTGAACTGACTTGGAAGATATGTACATGGAAAGGCCCTGCCTTTGCATTGTCATTGTAGTGTGACCTATGCAATTCATTCCAGTGAATATTGGCAGTGTGTAGTGACTTGCAGGGAAGTATTCGTAAGGTTGGTGCCAATGTTCAAGTATCTGTTGTTGAGGTATGCATCACTGGCACAGTGTTCTGTCCATTGTTGTAATGAAGACAGCCAGTCTAGCTCCAGAATCTTCTCACTGCTTTAAAGTGACACTCATTAGCGAAATCGTTAGTGAGCTTGGAGCGGTGACTACTTTACAACACACACAGGGACCATGGCAAACAAAAGTAGCCCCCCTCCAGAAGGAAGGACAGTGTCGGCATGAATTCAGAGATGATTCTTATTATCTACAGCCGAGTGATACACAAATGAGATACATTATTGTTAATAGTTATGGTCCTTGAATGCGTTTTTAAGATGCATCTCCTTAGTTTAGTATCACTTTAATGGGACTTGTGTGGCGTATCACTTTGTAGCAGCATTTGTCAGACCAAGTGTTCCCTCAAACAACAAATCTGTTCGGGGAAAAAAAACAAAAACCTTTTTTGGTTCACAAAATCAACTTTCAACAATGTAATTACATTTACCATGCAGCACCTGAAAGTTTTAATCATGTTTGCAGTAGGACTGCCTGATCTATAAGCTGATGAATTGGTGTGGAAGGGTCTATGGAGGGAGAAAGTTTAGGAGAGTCCAAAGAACATAGTCTTCAGAGTTGCATAAATTGTCCTCGTACCCCATTTGTTAAGTTCTGCAGCCACATATCACAGCAGGCATGGGTGGATCACAGAGTAGAGGCAAACATTTGGCATTCTGAATCGATGTTCATGAAACTCCTCACAAGGAACAATACTTTTTTTTGCTGCAGAAACATTTCCATTTGCTTATGAAATTAGCTGTTGGATGTCATATGTATGTCCTATCTCTATATTAATACATTTGAGATTCTTTCCCAGTAGAGGGTGTTTATACTTGTATCATTTGATGGGTGATCAACACAAACTGTATATATCCATGATCATTGACTGCTTATACTTGAGCAACTATTTCAATTAAAATTTTAGTTTGTTTATTATTACCACATGATCAGTCTCAAAGAATTGTTAAAAGATGAGGAGTACCATCGTCATCTCTGCAGTGAAAGTCTTGCAAATTATCCCAGCAAGAATGAAAGTTCCATTGCAGGGGATGCCAGATTCCAACCTTTGTAGACATCTGGGAAAATCGGAGAGCAGATACCACAAGAAAAATGCGTCTTTTCTGGGGGAGTTTAGTACATGTCCAGGCTGCCATATTGTAAGGAGGAGACATTTCATTTTTTTTCTGATCAATTTAGGGCCAGTGTACACAGAAGTTTGTGGTTTTTTTTTTGTTTTTTTTTAAAGACCTCGGACCCAATTTTTTGAATTTTGACTTTGAGGTAATGCCACATTGCACACTAAAACTTGATGTCTATATTGAACCACCTTTAGAAGATCCATAGTGTCTTCAAATAAAACTGAAAGGTAAATTTTAAAGCCAAAAGTAAATAAATGAACGGAGAGTGCTGCAGGCAAGTAATAACTTGTAAAGATCTTACGGTTCGTTTCACTGACAGAGCTTCCTTTGGAAGAAATAAGCTGCAGAGAAGGATCTGTTATCTGTGTGTAAGCAGTGGTTCCTCTGCAGCGATCCGACATGCTTCCTACTGAGAGAGCCCAATAGCTCCACAATCAGCAAAGCGTCGCTTCTTGTTAATCGATGCAATTACACAGAGTTAGCAGCAAACCTTTTCCACAGCTGACTTTTGGGGGGATGGGCTGATTCTCTTATAAAAAGAGCTCCAGTACCATTGACACAAACACATCTTTACAAGTTATTGGTTACACCCTGAGTCATTCTTTTACTAAAGATGTGCTTTAATAACATTCAATTATCAAATTTTGTGTGCACTAGTTCTGCCATATGCTTAGCAAGTAGGGTTTTCATTTAATGTCTTCAAGCCCCAACAGATTGT